ATTTTCCAAAATAGAAAAAATGAGAAAGCCTAAGCAAGTGATGAAGGCCTGTGTAGGTTTGTTATGATACATAAAGGATGAGACAAAAATAATATACACATAATCTTAAAATTTCTATGATTAAAGTTTAGTCAACTAGTTTAAGGAACAAAATATAAATCTAATCAATGTTTATCTGAGAATATTAGGTTCTTTACCTAAGCCTTATCTACATAGCACATAATAATTAAAAGTATCAGACTGGTGGAAGTAACCTTACTGGATGTTTAACAGCCATATTTTAAGGCCTATACTAATGTGGTCAGAGGGACTTAACAGACAGTTTTTGCTCCTTGCCCTCCAAAGTCGACTAAGTTCCAGGGGACTATGGAACATCTCTCAAAATGTCCTGTAACTGGTGAGTCACCTGTTCTCTTGTTCAGGAAGGCCTTGGGGAGCCCACAAGATGGACCTTGCCCTCCAAAGTCGACTAAGTTCCAGGGGACTATGGGACATCTCTCAAAATGTCCTGTAACTGGTGAGTCTCCTGTCCTCTTGTTCAGGGAGGCCCTGAGGAGACCCCAAGATGGACTTGAACCAGTGTCCAGTCTACAAAGAGGAGGGTCAACTTAGAGGAAACATCTCATCCATGCTTCCACGTGAAGCCAGATATGATCGAGCAGGACCTTTGACTTATCTTCACATAGATGGAAGTGGTAAAAGAAAGGAGCCAGGGGCTCTTCCTAAGCCCAGGTGACTCCTGAGGAACAGGTCCTCATATGACCTGAAGTATAAAAATAAATTGATTTATTTGGGCCAACTGTATGGTCTTAAACACCCAAAAGGAAAGTATAACCAAAGAATAAAGTGATCAGTATATGTCTTTAAGAGTTGAAGGGATTACACTTCCCAGACATTAGGCTTAAGTTCATATAAAAAGACAATTATTTCTCATTGATGATTTTGTTCCCAATCAGAAAGTGCTGCTCAGATGTAAGACGTCAAATCTTAGTCTGCAATACTGTAGTGCCCACCTGTAGCTAAGGGAGACAATCGTCCACGTTATGACAATGCAGCAGTGTGGTTTCATTCTATTTCTGCTTGTCCCACTGAATAGCTCATAATCTGATTCTTCTTTCCTCTTCTTCATCTTTATCAGCACTTTCAAGTTAAAACATCCTGAGTGCTGACTTTACCACTAATGTGGTGACAAGTGACATCCCACACTGCGGCTTGTGGGTTGAAAATAAAGAAAACAGCTATACAAAGGAACTCATTGTAAACAGAGTTGTAATCACCCAGAATGGAAAATAGTTATGCTTAAAACAAAACAACTGAATAAAAATGGTCCAAATCTTGGCTGGTGTGGTCTAAATGAAATCACACAGCTTCTGGTACCTGTGGGCACACGAATTCAAAGCAAACCCTGCACTGAATTCCAAGCATAGGCAGGGCTTAAAAAATTGCTGATGCACAGAAGTTGCTCAGGAATTAAGGTCAGCAATCAACAAGTGGGACCTCATTAAACTAAAAAGCTTCTGTACATCAAAGGAGGCAACCAGGGAAGTGAAGAGAAAACCCACAGAATAGGACAAAATCTTCACCAGTGACACATCTGACAGAGGTTTAACATCCAGAATGTATAACGAACTTAAAAAACAAAGAATCAAGAAACCAAATGACCCAATGAAAAGATGGGCTAAAGATCTAAACAGAGAGTTCTCAAAGGAAGAAATAAAGATGGCTAAGAAACATTTCAAAGAGTGTTCAACATCGTACATAGTTAGGGAAATGCAAATCAAAACCACCCTAAGGTATCACCCCAATCAGGCTGGCTAGGATCAAGAGAACAAATGATACCAAATGCTGGCGAGGATGTGGAGAAAGCTCATTCACTGCTGGTGGGATTGCAAACTTGTGCAGCCTCTATGGAAAACAGTGTGGAGATCTTTTAAAAAACTAAAAATAAACCTACCATATGACCCGGTTATACCACTCCTTGGAATACACCCAAAGGACTCATCCTACTGCAGAGACACTTGTACAACCATGTTTGTTGCTGCTCTTTTCACAATAGCTAAGAGATGGAAGCAACCTAAGTGTCCCTCAATTGATGAG